AGTACGTTGATAGTGGTGTTGATAGTATGTTCTGGCGTTACAGTACGTTGATAGTATGTGTTGATAGTATGTTCTGGCGTTACAGTACGTTGATAGTGGTGTTGATAGTATGTTCTGGCGTTACAGTACGTTGATAGTGGTGTTGATAGTATGTTCTGGCGTTACAGTACGTTGATAGTATGTTCTGGCGTTACAGTACGTTGATAGTGGTGTTGATAGTATGTTCTGGCGTTACAGTACGTTGATAGTGGTGTTGATAGTATGTTCTGGCGTTACAGTACGTTGCTAGTGGTGTTGATAGTATGTTCTGGCGTTACGTTACAGTACGTTGATAGTATGTGTTGATATATGTTATAGTATGTTCTGGCGTTACAGTACGCTGCTAGTGGTGTTGATAGTATGTTCTGGCGTTACAGTACGTTGATAGTGGTGTTGATAGTATGTTCTGGCGTTACAGTACGCTGCTAGTGGTGTTGATAGTATGTTCTGGCGTTACAGTACGCTGCTAGTGGTGTTGATAGTATGTTCTGGCGTTACAGTACGCTGCTAGTGGTGTTGATAGTATGTTCTGGCGTTACAGTACGCTGCTAGTGGTGTTGATAGTATGTTCTGGCGTTACAGTACGTTGATAGTGGTGTTGATAGTATGTTCTGGCGTTACAGTACGTTGATAGTGGTGTTGATAGTATGTTCTGGCGTTACAGTACGTTGATAGTAGTGTTGATAGTGTGTTCTGGCGTTACAGTACGTTGATAGTAGTGTTGATTGTATGTTCTGGCGTTATTGTCACCAGGATGATTGACATCACAGCCAGTATGTTCGTTTAGTACCTCTGCTGTACACTATACCAGGACACTGTTCCAGGATACCAATACAAGCTAGGTGGGTTATCTCTTGATTTTAATGACTGGTTGGGGTGAACAAATACGAAACCGAACAAGAGACATCGTGGTAAATGGGATACAGTCTTATCAAATATTACACAAATCATATCTGTGTAGTCAGTAGTTATACGACCTATGCCCTGCGTCATCCAACTCCAAACTGTCGGGGGCGGTGGGGTAGCCCAGTGGTTAAAGCGTTAGTAAGTCACGCCGAAGACCCGGGTTCGATTCCCCACATGGGTACAATGTGTGAAGCCCATTTCTGGTGTCCCCCGCAGTGATATTGCTGGAATATGGCTAAAAGCGGCGTAAACCTATACTCAATCACTCGCTCACTCCAGCCTGTCTCCCACACTCATCCTAGATTTAGGATTACCATGACAACGTATGCATTTTCTGCTTTGATTTCCCATATCATCCAGTTTCACTTCTGTTTCACCAACACTAACTTTCAATATGTTATTCACAGATTCAAATTTCACACACTTTTCATCAACATCTTGTAACTTAGTACTCAACTTCGTCAAGAAACATAACCATCGTTCAACTTACTGAGCAGTTCTTTATTTTAACAACACCTTCGAATTTTAATTGCCTCCAAAACTGAGTTTTCCATTTGCTGTTTTGATTCTGCACCTTTTAGACGAAGCTGGGCATGGTAGAGCTGTGGTGTCCTCATGTCCCCGTTGACCGCCTCCGTGGTGTAGTGGTTAGAGCGTCCGCCCGGAGAGCGGAAGGTCGTGGGTTCGATCCCCGACGGCGTCATACCAAAAGACGTTAAAATATGGTACTTGTTGGTCCCTGCCTGGCGCTCGGCATTAATGGGTACAACAAAGACTGGTCGGCTCGGAGTAAGTATACTGTGTCTGAGTGGGGTATTCATGCTTCACTGCGGCATGGTATCTCAGTGGGTTAGCACTATAAAACCAGCTTAAGTCTGGGCTAGCACAAGCAGCCGCACATACACATACACACGCATGCACGTCGTCATATGAGCGAAATATTCTCAAGTACGACGTAAAGCCCAATTTCACCTCACCTCACCTCATGTCCCCGTTATTTGTGAGTCGGGGGTTAGCCTCCACACCAGCTCTCAGTAGCAGCGTAAATATTACAGAGGCAGTGGTAGGCCTTATTTACACAAAGTTCTGGAAGATACTTCATGATACAACAACCTATGGGCCTTTCCACTATCGAGTTGGGGAATCGTGTGGTGTATTTGTCTTAGGGGGGCTAACTCCTGTCTCTCATCGCACACTAATTACATCTCAAGTTACAAGAAGACCAGCAATTGTGTGGAAATCATTCTTATCCTGGATACTTCACCATTATTGCAGTGAGATGAACATTACTGTTTGTGTCTTCATTGCTGCAATCACTGCTTGTGCATTAGACTGATTTTACATTTGTACTTCCACTATAATACATTTGTAGTGATTTGTATTCTTTTGTAAATTTTGTTAATTTTGAATACAATTGTTAATTATATGATATTGTTTTGTTGTTTATTGGTTTCATGCCAAGTTCTTTAATTACTTACTGATTTCCGGTTAAGTTTTAGTTTCTACCTGGGAATCAACAATAACAGAAACCAGGACTCATCTGGAATCGAAATATAATATAGCACGGAATTATTTGTAAACATTATTGGATTATAATTATATATTGTTTGACATCGTGTGAAGCTAAAAGGCACTATTGCGTTTAGTGTAGAGAAATATTTCAGTCGGCCTTCTACGGAAAGAGTATCTATGCTCTGAACTGGTACAGTTGGCCAAATATTACAAACTTTGCATGAAATCTGGTATACATAACCCTGATGTCAAGAAGATTCTGAAGAAAGTTTGGATGATCATACTTTGACCTTGGAACCTCAAGCTGAGAAAGAAAAAGAAAAACGATTTCATACTGAGTAATAAAGAGAAGAGAGCGAATTTCAAAATCAAGTTTAAAAAATGAATTACAAAATCATGTCTCTCTTAAATACGTCACCATGTGACCGATCGTTTGATCTTCAGGCAGCAGATAAAACTTATTCTGCCTTTCTCTCAACGTGATGTTGAAAACCTTGTCAGACATTTTGCCATTACCGACAATCTAGTGGAAGTTGGCACCTACATGGATGACGTCATCACTCATTGCTATAGGAGCACCCGAAGAGGATCTGTGCCTTTCTGAAATACTCGCTAAAGCCTGAGCACCATTATGAATGATTCTCTTGCTTTATTGTTAGCTCTACAGCAATTCGAAGTGTACTTAAGTAGTACTTTGTTTCCAATACAACTGTACACTGATCAGAATCTACTGACCTTTCTTCAGAAAATGAAAACTTTGCAGGAAATTGTTTAGAAATCAAGCATTTTAAGGGAAGTGGGCGCCATATTAATTACCGGCTGCCAATTTGCGTAAGCCTCCCGACAAAATGGCCGTACGAGCAGAGGGTGTTTTTCTTTTAAAACCAGTCGAATCCCATTGAATTCAATTATGAAATTCGTATGTGTGTGCAAATGTGTATTTACAATTATGTACTTTAGTATACCACAATTATCTGTATGTATTATTTTTGCATCAACGAAATTTAGTTAATGTGCTCAAACAGCATCAAGTCTTACGTTTTCAGGTAGTCTGTCTCACAGTCCCTGAACCACATTAATTTCCCTACTGCCAAGCCCTCTCTGCAGTGCTAAAGCCCTAAATAAAGCAAGTCTAGATTTCCTCAGGTATCTCTGGTCTCCCTAGGGCTCCTTTTCAATATAAATGGGCTTGTTTGTTACTATCAAAATTATATATACTAGTATTCAGAGACTAAGCCTTAGTCTAGTTTTCAGGCAAACCGCCTACAGCAGTTACTGGTGCCATGTTGTCCTCCATGTTTTATAGTACAAGCCCTACACTTGTTTATTAGCCATTCACTTGATGTTCAGTTAAGGACATTACTACAGGTATTAATTAGTGGCGACAACACCTGGAATACTCAAGAACGTTCGCCCTGCTTCTGGGGGTATGAAGGATATATAAAGTAACTGTTGGTTCCCAAGTTGAAACTAAAATTAAAGAACTCGGAGTGGTAGTGCCATGTAGTACCTTCCAGAACTCTAAATACAGCAAAGTCTATACACAGCATATATTACACCACTGCCCTACACATCAGTCCTCCCACAGATATATTACACTTCCAGTGATAAACTCTCGGGCAGCTCAGCGGCATAAATGTGGCTTTCGATGAGTACATTTTATACATGTAAGCACTGCTTCTCGCAAACCCTTGACATTTACATGTACTCGTATGAGTAACTCTTCCCTAAATAACGTATGAAGAATTGTACATTTATAGTTTTGATGACGTTGAGTCCATGCTTGTCGTAAGAGGCGACAAACGAGATCGGGTGCACAGGGGCGTGTCACGCTTAAAACAGCGTTAGAAAGACATATACCGGTAGGTATATAGACCCTATCCTAATACTATCTTTTATATAGTATTAGGGTAGGGTCTATATACCTATATGTCTTTCTAACGCTGTTTCTAAGCGTGACACGCCCGTGTGATCGGGTGGTCAGGCGTCATCGGTTTTGCGTAGATCGATACTCATGCTGTTGATCACTGGATTGTCTGGTCCAGACTTGATTATTTACAGACCGCCGCCATATACAAGGAATATTGCTGAGTGCGACGTAAAACTAAACTCACTCACTCACACAATAAGTTGTCCACCCCTATTCCAGGGCTGCCCTTGTAGAATATATCGTGCCTTACGTGTTCACCACGAGAAAAGTCCCCCCCAGTGCCCCACCCTCCCGCAACCCACTACCCCGACCCTCTTACAAACCACAGACCTACTGGTACAGAGTCAAGCACGCAGACACCCGGTTTGACCCTTTTACAAACCACAAACCACAGACCTACTGGTACAGAGTCACGCACGCAGACACCCCGTTTGACCCTTTAACAAACCACAAACCACAGACCTACTGGTACAGAGTCACGCACGCAAACACCTCGTTTGGTTTGCTTTTCAAAATCACTTCTGCTTTGATCTGCTTTGGGGATTGAAATTTTGTAAATTTAAGATTTAGCATGATATCATTGGAGTGACTCTAGCTTGAGTCACGAGATTTTGAAGTATAACTTACCAGCACATTCTCGCCGTTACTGAGGGCCGAGGTTTCGCGTGCCCTGTCTGATTTCCTTAAACAACTCTAGGCGATAAAGATGGCCAGGCCACGTGTTTTCTTTGACATAGCTGTTAACGGTACCGGCATTGGAAGGATCGTTTTTGAGGTAGGTTAGGAAGAAGTTACAAGTGGTAAGATTTGAAAATGCTGAAAGGAAGTGATTGTCGATCCCGGGACATGTAACGATCGAGTGCTTCCCAACTTCCTCATATAATGATAATGCGTACCAGGCCATAAGACTTGCTGTGACATGAGGTGTTTTGCTCCGGCTCACCCGTTCCACACTACTGCTTTATGTGCCACGCCCATTTTTTCTTTAGCCCACCTTCACATAGTTAAAGTTATCTTCATGGGGCCTCGGCCAACGTCCGTCTATCTGTCTGTCCGTGAGACCTTTACAATTTTTATCTTATTAAACCTGCCCTTCCTCTGAACTGTTAAAAGTTTCATTTTGAAAGAATATGTTTTGCATGGCTGCAATAAAACAGATTGTAAAGTTTTGAAGATATTTTTCAACCACATTTTTCTTTCAAGGAGTTTAATAATACAACACTTCCCCCAACTTGTCAGCTTTTAGATGCAAACTTTGCCCAAAAGTGTTTCTTGACTTCGACTCTTACAACATGAATGCTGAGCATACTGCACTCCATTTCAAATTACCTGAATTTACTGGTATCATAGGTGTCATCAACAATTGATGGCGGAGTATGACCAACTAAGTACTGTCTGAATATTCGTTCAAAATACAAATTGTTCTCTGAACTTCCAATATTTATGGTGAACATATTATATCTAGTAGTTGGTTATTACTGACAAAATATATAATCAGCACATCCTGTCCTTGTTATAAGGTGTCACTGAAATATAAGTGAAGTGTTGTTCTGTGGTGTTTCTGCCTACCATATTTCCTCTAATAAGTGCCGGTCCTCAGATAACTGACAGGGGAATGGTCCCTAACTTTGGCATAAGGCTCACTAACAATTAATTACGGTACACCCAGTAAGTGTAGTAAGTGCTTGGCCTCTAATAAGCGCTGGTTCTGGAAGTCTTTTGAAAAATTAAGCACCCAGGCTCTTATTAGAAGAAATAAGGTATATTCAGGTGCGCTACGCAAGTTGTGACTGCCGGTATTGTTGTAGCAATTCTGTGTTCCCAGCTGTACAGCGATGTGGTGCCAAAGACTGCGGAGAACTTCAGGGCTCTGTGTACTGGGGAGAAAGGCGCTGGCTACAAAGGCACCAAGTTTCATCGCATCATCCCCAATTTCATGTGTCAGGGTGGGGACTATGAAAAACATAACGGAACTGGAGGACAGAGCATCTATGGTGGCAAGTTTGCAGATGAGAACTTCCAAATGAAACACACTGAGAAAGGTTTGTTGATTAACACAATAGTATTCCAGCTGTATGTTTGTAACTGTTGTGTACAGACTCCACTCGTTTGAATAAACACACGAAACATTGTAGTTCTGCACAGGTTAATCACCGAGTTCCAAGTGAGGTACATGTACTATGTCCATGACGTCACTACTTGACATAATCATATCACGTGCTCACGCTCTCATACGCATGGAGGTAACATTCACATCAAGTCCGCACAGTGATGGATGATATTGTGGGGAGGATGGTGCACGATCAAGAAAGTCACAGGGTTGGATGGTTGGGGATGATATTGCACGATCAAGAAAGAGGATGGTGCATGATATTGTGGGAAGATGGTGCACGATCAAGAAAGTCACAGGGTTGGATGATATTGTGGGGAGGATGGTGCACGATCAAGAAAGTCACAGGGTTGGATGATATTGTGGGGAGGATGGTGCACGATCAAGAAAGTCACAGGGTTGGATGATATTGTGGGGAGGATGGTGCAGGGTTGGATGATATTGTGGGAGGATCATCAAGAAAGTCACAGGGTTGGATGATATTGTGGGGAGGATGGTGCACGATCAAGAAAGTCACAGGGTTGGATGATATTGTGGGGAGGATGGTGCACGATCAAGAAAGTCACAGGGTTGGATGATATTGTGGGGAGGATGGTGCACGTAGATCAAGAAAGTCACAGGGTTGGATGATATTGTGGGGAGGATGGTGCACGATCAACAAAGTCACAGGGTTGGATGATATTGTGGGGAGGATGGTGCACGATCAACAAAGTCACAGGGTTGGACACCAGAAATATTTAGTTGCCTCTGAGGAGACTCCTTGCTTACTGGAGTTATGTGATGACTGTTTTAGGTCAACTGTCCATGGCTACGTTTTCCGACTGCCTGTTTCAGGTCTGCTGTCCATGGCTAAGTTTTCCGACTGCCTGTTTCAGGTCTGCTGTCCATGGCTAAGTTTTCCGACTGCCTGTTTACAGGTCTGCTGTCCATGGCTAAGTTTTCCGACTGCCTGTTTCAGGTCTGCTGTCCATGGCTAAGTTTTCCGACTGCCTGTTTCAGGTCTGCTGTCCATGGCTAAGTTTTCCGACTGCCTGTTTCAGGTCTGCTGTCCATGGCTAAGTTTTCCGACTGCCTGTTTCAGGTCTGCTGTCCATGGCTAAGTTTTCCGACTGCCTGTTTCAGGTCTGCTGTCCATGGCTAAGTTTTCCGACTGCCTGTTTCAGGTCTGCTGTCCATGGCTAAGTTTTCCGACTGCCTGTTTCAGGTCTGCTGTCCATGGCTAAGTTTTCCGACTGCCTGTTTCAGGTCTGCTGTCCATGGCTAAGTTTTCCGACTGCCAGTTACAGGTCTGCTGTCCATGGCTAAGTTTTCTGGACTGCCTGTTTCAGGTCTGCTGTCCATGGCTAAGTTTTCCGACTGCCTGTTTCAGGTCTGCTGTCCATGGCTAAGTTTTCCGACTGCCTGTTTCAGGTCTGCTGTCCATGGCTAAGTTTTCCGACTGCCTGTTTCAGGTCTGCTGTCCATGGCTAATGCTGGACCCAATACCAATGGCTCTCAGTTCTTCATAACAGTAAGCAAGACAGATTGGTAAGTAAATTTCGGACAATTCTCTGGTGTTCTCTGAATTAATTTTTTGTGGTTTGAAAACCATTGCTTACTGATCATGTCCAGTGTTAAGTTTTGATGTTGACATTTCTCTAGTTAAATAAGAAAGTGAGATTCTTTATGGACAACAACTTCTTTATTATATAAGATGCGATGTTTCGGTATGGATTCTTATACCGTTGTCAAGCAAGATTGAAGTAGTCCCTTGTTAAAGTTTGACCATCCTGCGCATGCACATCCCCATGACCAGCCAGTGACTCTCTCAATTTATGTAATGTCCACATTGTTAAAATTTAGTGGTGTGCATGGATGGTTGTTAGGGTACAACCTTCTGTTTGGAACAAAAGAAGTAAATATTAAAGATTTAGTTGATATGTAAGAATTGCATAGAATGTGGTTCTGGAATGGTGTCGAGTGACCTGTGTCTGTTGCAGGCTGGACGGCAAGCATGTTGTGTTTGGGAAAGTGGTGGAAGGGTATGATACTGTCGTCTGCGAAATGGAGAAACTTGGATCACAAAGCGGGAAGGTGGACAAGACAGTCACCATAGCCAACTGTGGTCAGCTCTGAGGTCAGCCTTGAGGTCAGCCCGGACAGTCTCTCATTCCTCCAGCACATCACATCAACTGACCAGAGAGTCATTGATGGAGTAACAAATTGTTTGTGACTTATGTACTACTCACAGGGATTTATCTAGGATTCTAAAGTCTGTTCCCCAGGCAGGCAAATTTTAATATTGGGTTAATTAAGAGTAGTGATTATTTTCTTAAATTCAGGGGTAGTTGAAGATTCTGAGGAATTCACTAAAATATAATGTAGCATGGAAGCCTCTCTGTCATATTGGTCCTGTTACCACAGAATCAAGTCACCTCGAGAAAGCCACATGCTAGAACAATATGGAAATATAGGGGAATGGTTTTATTCCAATCTATGGAGTTTTCTGAAGACGTGATACCAGCCTATGAACTGTTTTAGAGAAATCCCTGACTCAGCTGTTGATAGGCATATAGTTGTCCCAGCTGCTACAATCAGCGAAATGCACCATGGAGTGCTAGATTGATCCCTGTAGACATGCCGTGTATCATGGCGCCAACTGGTCTGAATATACTGCAAGTGTGCTTATACTCACATTATTAGTATTATCTGCATGAAGTTAGAGGTTTAATGTTGGATGTTATGTGATGTGTTTAAGGAATTACTAGTTAGTTACAGTGCAACTAAATCTCTTGTTCCGGGCATATTAACAGATAGGACTCAAACAGTGCAACCATACTCAGGCTACAACATGTACGAGGAATATGTGTAGAGATGTTGACAAAGAAAGTGCATAATTATGATGCAGCTAATAATCACTTTTGAAAGTCAGATGTTTTCGATGTTCAGCACAAGGCAACAAGAAGAATAGATCAGAAATTGGTGACATTTATCTCCCATAGTAGGTCTGAGATGTAGATCTGTACAATTGTATCTAAGTTACGTTCAAGAATAACTCTCTTGATATCCTCTGAAACATTGGGAATACATTTCATAATAGCAGTGCTGAAAATCCGTGATACTGCTTATGATGATAATTGAAAGTAGTTGTTGAGCGACACATATACAGAACAAATGGTGGGTCTGGTTGAGTTAATGGTGCAGTGTTTAGTCAGCTGTATTTACCGCATCTATATTATAATAAGCTTTTTAATTAGAACCTTGTCCTTACTCTGAACATGCTAACAATGTGAAGTGTGCTATAAGTAATGGCTACAAAGGGTCAAGTTCATATGGGAATACATGATATGAATCCCATGGTATAAAGGATTTATCCCCATAGGAAGCTGGTAGCAATGAATTCCCCTGTACGATACAGTACGCTCCCATGGTATAAAGGATTTATCCCCATAGGAAGCTGGTAGCAATGAATTCCCCTCTACGATACAGTGCGCTCCCATGGTATAAAGGATTTATCCCCATAGGAAGCTGGTAGCAATGAATTCCCCTGTACGATACAGTGCACTCCCATGGTATAAAGGATTTATCCCCATAGGAAGCTGGTAGCAATGAATTCCCCTGTACGATACAGTACGCTCCCATGGTATAAAGGATTTATCCCCATAGGAAGCTTGAAGCAATGAATTCACCTGTACGATACAGTGCGCTCCCATGGGATCTGCAATACAAACACCAGTTGTGTCCAAGTGTTCCATACAGCCAGCGTTTCCATTTCATGATTTATTGGTGGCTAATGGGTTTCTCACAGTTTTATACATTTGTTGAATTTTTATGTTTTGTTTATTTTACTGTATTGACATGGATATCTCATTGAACAATATCGCTCAGAGTATGACTGTATGCATTGATAGACATGTTTGTCAGTTCTGAAGCATACATTTCAAAATGATGATCTTGTTAAGCTACAAGAGGGATTATATCTAGGAAATCTTCCTCCAATGGAGATAGTGGTGTTCCGATGATCGAAAATTGATCGAATGAAGGATTGAAAAAATGATTATCGATTGTAAAAGCAATTTTTTCGATTAATCTGAATTTTGTCGTTTTAGTATTACGCACCTGAATGAAGTAAACTAACCATTAAATTTGACAAATATTCACGAACAAACATGCGTCCAACAGTGTAAAGCTATGCACATTGTAAAATGTTTACCATTTTTATTGTTTAATTACAATTCCAGTGTCTTTCTTGCATGCGTGCATTTCATTGTAGGACAGTATTAGTTATAAAAATCATTAATTAAGAAAACCCTGGGAAAACCCCACAAAATTGGTGATTACATTACAAATGTATATATATTTCAGTTATAATCGATATTCGTTCACCACAATCCTTCGATAATCAATAGTGGATTTGGTTTCCGATTCCCAACACTAGATGGAGAGCCTACTACCACTACAAATACAGAACCTGTAATGCTTGCTGACACAATGTTTACACACACTTTTACCAAACTGGTAAACCTGTTCAACCATCTATATTTCACAGCAGCTCTTTGTGTTTGGAATGAACCATCACTAATTATGCGGTAAAGATATTCTTCTCTAATGATGTGTTGTTGTTTTTTTATTTACCTGTCTCATGGTTGCAGCTGTTTGACAGCCTAATACATTTACTACTTTTGTGGAAACCATGGGTATACGTACAGCGTTTACAAGCCAAGGACCATAATTTGGCACCCAAGGAATCAAAATGACGTTTAGAAAACACACAAGCTGGGAACTATCCTCCAGGAGTCTACACAGGAGGCTATATGTTGTTTCCACATCTGAAATACTTTGTATAACAGCTTCATCCAAACTCAAGCTTGTGGGGATTCTGGAGCAGACCTGGCCTCCAGTACTGACAACCGTCAGAGGAGCAGATGGAAATGGGGGGATCAGCTGTTCATGTGACATCATACCCCTGATGTGTCAAATATGACATCAAACAAAATAACTACTGAATGCTGGTAATTGCAACAAAGGCTGTATCATGGTGATGGCACCATCATCTAATGGTACTGATAAATATACTGAACTGCAAAAGAAACGTCACCTGAAGAAAAATTGCATGAAAATTTGTCATTGAAATATCTCAGTAATTGTTGTCAAAGAATGTTCAAAGTAAAATTCCTTCGTCAAGAAAAATGCCATTTGATGACAAAAAACAAAGCAGGTGAGTATAAAACCGATCACCCAAATGCATTATGGCAACGACCGTGGTAACTTGATGCACGTGTGTTCCATGCAAATTGAAATGACGTGCGTTTCCCCATTTCTTACCCTATAAAAATCCACCCAGAATGGAGAACATTCATTCGTTGTTGAATTGGCGAGCAGTAACCTCCACTGTCACAGCAGGCCACACCGAGGACCAATTCTGATACCACGTCATGGTCAAGATAGTCTACAGTGGGCAACACAGCAACTGCATTGGCGCCACCAACAGTGGAGAAGGGTCCTCTCCTCAGACCAGAGTCATTACTGTTTCTCAACAGCAGATGCACAGTGAGAGTCTGGCGACGCCGTGCGGAACGTTATTCAGATGCTTATGTTTTTGAGAGTCCCTAGCATCATGGAGCGGGGTGGAATTGGGTCTTGCACAGAGTTGGGCCTGTGGTATTCCAGAACATCAATCCAGGGAGAGGTGTCACAGCTGCTCAGTACATTGATCAAGTCTAGAGACCACACGTCATACCTCATTTGGCACGTCGTCGCCACAACCACAAGTTTCAGTATAACGCCCGTGCCTACACTGCGAGAGCAACAAGAGACTTCCTCAAGCATAATGGCATCCGGACCATGCAGTGGCCTCCTCAGTCCCGATTTGAACCAATTTGAGTGAGTGAGTGAGTTAATATTTAACGTCACACCGGCAATATCTCAGTCATATCGTGATGAAAACACTTTGTACAATAACAAATGAAAACATTTGGAAGAGTAAAACCTATCGACAATGGACAGTAAAAACACTAGAGTATCACAGATATAAATATAAAACTAGCATGTAAAGCTGAAACATTTTAACTAAAGAAGACAATACAATATAAAACATGGTCTATAGATCGCCAACAACTGAAGTTAGATCACCATACAAGGAACCATGTGGACTTGCATTACTTTCGTTACCTGCATGGACCCTAGCTGGATTTACACCATCCCTTCAGCCACTGGCGATGGTAGGAAGATTTAGCAGAAAGTTAAAATACGATTAAAAAGTATGGTTGAGCGAATTTGACTTTGAAAGCTTTTGTGACTTACGTACCCTCTAAGGACAATAATTTTACAATGCTTTAACCCCCCTTTGAGGATACAGCCACTAACAATCGCAGTTGCTAATTTATACTACCATTTATACAATATAAACTCATTGAGTAACTGTGGGATGAGATTCAGTGATGACTGAATGACGTACGACTCAGACTGACCATTGCAGCTGAATTGCGTCAGGCGTTCCTCAGAGTGTGAACATCTGACATTTTCATTCCAACCATGATTCTCATTCTTGCCAAGTTTCATCGTCTTCCTGTGTCTCAAAGTTTATTTAAAGTGTTTGGAAAAATAAAGGTTCCTATATATCTCTCAATGGTAATGTTTCTTTTGCGGTTCAGCATATGCTACTCCGAACAATTGCCTCAGGATATAACAGATTAAACAATCATTTATAGAAACAGAAGATTAGATGTTCTATACGTTGTGAGTAGTACATATTTATCAATACCTTCACATGATGCAAGTAAGGGAGGGGTATTAATACAACAAAATAATACCATTTTGCTTTGATGACTTTATTCATGACTGTTTTCATTTTCAAAAAACAAAGTAAACAGATAAATTCTTCCAACACATTTACCATGAACAAACAACAATACATTCACAGTTCCTTAATGTCCACATAGCTCAAGCTATCGATACATCTCTCACTTTCCTTTAGGTCCATAGCATAAGCTGTCTATATGACTGCTCCATTATTGTGCAAATGACATAAGCTCTTGATAAAATTCAGTTCCCCTAACATCCAATGACAAAAGCTATTTATATGCTTATACAGTTTCTTTTAATGTCCAAATGGTGACGGCTATCAATACAATTTGCTATTCCTCAGAAGCCCAAGTGGTGTGTATGTAATCAATATTAGTATGGATGCCAAAACTGAACTAAACCACTGGATCCCCAAACTTTCACCCAGATAGCCCGCAGTTCTCATCTCAGCTTGGGTCTCCATCTGGTATTTGGTAAACCTTGTATGCATCAACAGGAAATAATGTGAAAACTGAGAATGGCTTTTGTGAGTTGATTGAAGAAGAAATATACGCAGTTCGAGCCTTCACCAGAAGTTCTGCTCTTGGTACGCCTGGAATTGATGGATCGGTGACTACCACTTTACATGTTGATCTCAGTTACCTCAGCTTAGAAAGGCAAAACTATCTCGATGCAAGCTCTTAAAGACCACTCTCAACACATTCAAGATACAGTATATACCAGACTTACACTCATCAACACTGACGGGGATATTTCGTATCATATGAGTGATGCGTTTCTAATGTTCAGTATACTTGAACTGAACACCAGCATGTGGGTCTATACTTGGCAAGGCCAGAACATCAACATGTGGGTCTATACTTGGCAAGGCCAGAACACCAGCATGTAGGTCTATACTTGGCAAGGCCAGAACACCAGCATGTAGGTCTATACTTGGCAAGGCCAGAACACCAGCATGTGGATCTATACTTGGCAAAACCAAAACACCAGCATGTGGGTCTATACTTGGCAAAACCAGAACAGAAAACCAGCATGTGGGTCTATACTTGGCAAAACCAGAACAGAACACCAGCATGTGGGTCTATACTTGACAAGGCCAGAACACCAGCATGTAGGTCTATACTTGGCAAGGCCAGAAAACCAGCATGTGGATCTATACTTGGCAAAACCAGAACACCAGCATGTGGGTCTATACTTGGCAAGGCCAGAACATCAACATGTGGGTCTATACTTGGCAAGGCCAGAACACCAGCATGTAGGTCTATACTTGGCAAGGCCAGAAAACCAGCATGTGGATCTATACTTGGCAAAACCAAAACACCAGCATGTGGGTCTATACTTGGCAAAACCAGAACAGAAAACCAGCATGTGGATCTATACTTGGCAAAACCAGAACACCAGCATGTGGGTCTATACTTGGCAAGGCCAGAAAACCAGCATGTGGGTCTATACTTGGCAAGGCCAGAAAACCAGCATGTGGGTCTATACTTGGCAAAACCAGAACAGAACACCAGCATGTGGGTCTATACTTGGCAAAACCAGAACAGAAAACCAGCATGTGGGTCTATACTTGGCAAAACCAGAACACCAGCATGTAGGTCTATACTGGGCAAAACCAGAACACCAGCATGTGGGTCTATACTTGGCAAGGCCAGAAAAGAACACCACCATGTGGGTCTATACTTGGCAAGGCCAGAACAGAACACCAGCATGTGGGTCCCCTTTACAAAATAGGATCGACTAGTTAAGCTGAGATATGACTGATAATGTGTTATACATGTAATACCTGCGGTGCATTGTCCAGGGGCTAGCCTGATTCAGATTTGAATATCAACGAGTTGCCATGACATACTGCTCTCTACTGCACAGCACAGAACGTCGGGAGCCGCTGGTTATCTGCATATACATTATGGTTAATGCTTCAAATATGTTAACAGCTGGATTGAAAGAAGTTGATCTGCAAACCTAGTGTGGGTGAGCCATCATTGGAGATTAGCAGACCATACCAGCAAGGTGATATGGGCCCCACCAATGTGAATGGGTTGCAGCCATTGAATGAACAGTCCAGTCAGTCTTCAATCAAACATTTACAGTTTGGAGAAAACTACGAAAGGCGGAAAAATGTCAAAAGACGCTCTAGTGTAACATGTCAGTCACAAGCAGGTGCCCTCTCATACAGAACATGTCCAGCACTCTATGACATGACAGTCACACACAGGTGCCCTCTCACACAGAACATGTCCAGCACTCTAAGACATGACAGTCACAAGCAGGTGCCCTCTCATACAGAACATGTCCAGCACTCTATGACATGACAGTCACACACAGGTGCCCTCTCAAACAGAACATGTCCAGCACTCTATGACATGACAGTCACACACAGGTGCCCTCTCTCACACAGAACATGTCCAGCACTCTATGACATGACAGTCACAAGCAGGTGCCCTCTCATACAGAACATGTCCAGCACTCTATGACATGACAGTCACACACAGGTGCCCTCTCACACAGAACATGTCCAGCACTCTATGACATGACAGTCACACACAGGTGCCCTCTCATACAGAACATGTCCAGCACTCTATGACATGACAGTCACACACAGGTGCCCTCTCAAACAGAACATGTCCAGCACTCTATGACATGACAGTCACACACAGGTGCCCTCTCACACAGAACATGTCCAGCACTCTGACATGACAGTCACACACAGGTGCCCTCTCATACAGAACATGTCCAGCACTCTATGACATGACAGTCACAAGCAGGTGCCCTCTCATACAGAACATGTCCAGCACTCTATGACATGACAGTCACACACAGGTGCCCTCTCATACAGAACATGTCCAGCACTCTATGACATGACAGTCACAAGCAGGTGCCCTCTCATACAGAACATGTCCAGCACTCTATGACATGACAGTCACACACAGGTGCCCTCTCATACAGAACATGTCCAGCACTCTATGACATGACAGTCACAAGCAGGTGCCCTCTCATACAGAACATGTCCAGCACTCTATGACATGACAGTCACACACAGGTGCCCTCTCATACAGAACATGTCCAGCACTCTCTATGACATGACAGTCACACACAGGTGCCCTCTCACACAGAACATGTCCAGCACTCTCTGACATGACAGTCACAAGCAGGTGCCCTCTCATACAGAACATGTCCAGCACTCTATGACATGACAGTCACACACAGGTGCCCTCTCACACAGAACATGTCCAGCACTCTATGACATGACAGTCACAAGCAGGTGCCCTCTCATACAGAACATGTCCAGCACTCTATGACATGACAGTCACACACAGGTGCCCTCTCATACAGAACATGTCCAGCACTCTATGACATGACAGTCACACACAGGTGCCCTCTCATACAGAACATGTCCAGCACTCTATGATATGACAGTCACAAGCAGGTGCCCTCTCATACAGGACATGTACAGCACTCTATGACATGACGGTCACACACAGGTGCCCTCTCAAACAGAACATGTCCAGCGCTCTATGACATGACAGTCACACACAGATGCTAAATGCTTGATCAGCTAAAAATATATCTGAGTTCAACAAATTCTAAATATAAATCTCATTCATTCGCATGGATGAAGAAATATTAACCATTTTTTTTCCTTAATGAGAGAAGAGCATGAGTGCTTGGCTGAGAGCTGCTAATGATTCACAAGACCTCACAACCTCTCAGAACAGCGTCGTTGTAGCTCTATGGGGGGTGGGAGGGGTGTGTGTGTGTGTTGTTTTTTTGTTGACAGTTTCAAATGTGCAAGAAGACAGCCACAAATGTTACTTACAACATACAAGCCAGAAGTTGCAGATTCATGGTTTCAAATGACTTGTCAGGAGAAGTTTGCTACTGACAACCGGCAAACAGCCCATGACATAGATTTACTAAATATTCAGTCAGGAAAGGCAAAAACGTCTAAAGGTTTACTTCCACCAATATGTGGCATGGCATTCACAGACTGACCTCTACAGTCATCACCTCACCCCTTCACAAGCCTGAGAAGGCTACACAGAGCCAAATAAAGCATCACCTTCCAACATGGACTATTGCTGAACTTAAGACTACATAGTTTCTCCGATAGTATCTTCAAGGAAGAGTCTCGTCACCATTCACACACCTACTCACACACACACAAATGAAGCAACGTGTAGGAAAGTAATAAACAAGTTGGGCAGACCTTAAACTTTATACATGGTAAAGATATCCTGACAGTTGAAACTAAGATGCCAGCTCACTCTACTACAGCCCTATGAACTGAGTGGGGCCAGGATATATCACAAGTATGCTGCATACAACAACATACATTCACAACCAAGTACTGTAGTCTGCAACATATGCCAGGCTACGCTTCTGCCAAGAGTGCTCTCACCATAACAGCTTATCTCTAGTATTAGCTGATGTGGCGCTGCTTCCTTCAGAGGCTGGGCGGATAATGATCAGTGTAACAATGAATAGAAATATAAGCTCTCTTTTTAAGTACAGCATGATAGCGTGAGATCACCCTTTGGAAAAAATTGGTTGAAGTTAAGTTGAAACACTCTGCTCATGGTCAAACTGATCTTAACAGAAATCTGCAAACATGTATCTTGTGCCCTCATAGATTGAACAAAATAACTGTTCTGTTATTGCAAAAGTTATGTAACTTTCATGTCATAATCTTCCTGAAACGCTTAATCATGTTGCAGACTAAAATTCAGAATATTAAGGAGTGAAGCCTAACGACAAGCATTCTCCATCACCATGGAATGTGTAAATGTGAAGTACTGCAGCTTGTGACAGAAACACTGCTGTCCCTACGCTGGCCTGTACACCAATACAGTGAACACAATATGAACAAGCTGACGATGGTACACACATAGAACCACAATTCTTCAAGTCTGCTACATCTTATCATGAGAATGGGTAATGAAACCACACTTCAGTCTCACCATTGGGATGAGTATCTCTCCCTCCGTGGCCATGCAATCAAAACCTTACCCAACATAGTCTCAACATTCTGTCTTAAGATGGGCTCATCTCTAGCCAATTGGTTGCAAATGACAAAAATTACATCTTAGATGTCAACAGGCAATCAAACAAAGAAAATTCCTCTGAAAACATTGGTAAATAGACCTGTCAAACGTTTACTCCGGTTAATCACAAGACAATTGTCTTAATGTTTCATACACAGCATAACCTTGTCTTGTTAGGATTGAAGTCAAACAAGGTCACTGGACTGCAAGGTGAGCCCATCTTCCCAGCCCAGCCAGACACCTGCACCCAGCCACACCTGCAGCAAGTCAGAAATGTTGTGGCACATTAAAGCACATCTTGGTGTAATGCACTGGGGCTGCTTCAAAAAAGGAGCTTTCAAAAATGAATCATCGAAAATGGCACGCTGATATAGACAGATATCATCTTCCAAACTATAACAGCTTGTGTCAAAAAGCATACATTGTGATAGGTCACAGGGGCAGTACATACAGTTCTACAACAATTTGTGATTGGGTTTGGAGAAAACAGGCGGAAAGGAAGGGTCTCTCTCAGTCAGGGGCATTCACTAAGGCCACACACTAGAAGGGATCTGTCTCCCAGTAAACAGTGCTTAGTTTCAAGGTTAATGTGGAAGTGTAGTCAGTCTACTGATAAATGATTTGCTACACCTGTAAGACAGTGTCCTATGTGTATGGTTCTGTTTTCTACCATCTGTGAACCTCTACAGGTACAAAAAAAAAAGTCATTAGTTATAAGGAAATTAACACTCTCGTGCACACATGTACAACTGCAGAGTTGTTGAAATAATATACCTATCAACTGGCAACAGGGGCACTATGGAGGCCTTGCTTCAACAACATCGCAATTATCAGTAATCAGATTGACAGCTATAAACATTAAAATATCAAATCTCTTTTTCACAAATCTGAACACTAAGTAGGCCATTCTCTAATAAACCTAGAGTTTACAGGCTACATAATGTACAAGACCCTGAAGAATATCACCGTCAACAGTGAAGCAACTGCTCATTGTCGTGTCGCACGCAACAATGAAGGGATGCATGACTCCACCAAAAGCAGAACTGTGACAAAAGCAAAAGTGAAAGCGCCTGGAATGATTCAACATTATCGATTGGACAGACTGTTTCATCGCACGATGAAGGCACTTCGTCCTGGAATACCTTGGTCTGTTCCTCATGAAGTCGATGACACCTCAATAGTGTGTCGTCTTAGTCCATTTTGATGGCTTCAACACAGACTGAGTCCCCCCTACACGGGAGGCATCAACTGAGGTCACATGGAAAAGCAGAAAGTCAGATTGTGAGATACCAATGTCCACATTCCTGTCTCACCAGTCTCTACCTCATAAATATTCACATCCTATCACAGTTGTCACCTGACTTGAATCCACCAATCACAGTTGAGATATACTGACCAATGGCATACAGTCAGTGTAGGCAGAGAGCCAATCACATGCACACAGCAGACACCCACACCGGCTTTTTCTGCTCAGATGCAATCACAGTCTTGATGTGCATACACATCTCGGCCAGGTTGCCTCCTTGGATGGTGGCTGAAACGGAATAACATTAGGGAATTATACAATCAGTTGTCACGAACTTTGACAAGACGTTAAACACGTCACCAACAAGCCATGTTGTCACTGAACTTTGACATGACGTTAAACACGTCACCAACAATCCATGTTGTCAGGGAACTTTGACATGACGTTAAACACGTCACCAACAATCCATGTTGTCAGGGAACTTTGACATGACGTTTGACATCCATGTTGTCAGGGAACTTTTTGACATGACGTTAAACACGTCACCAACAATTCATGTTGTCACGGAACTTTGACATGACGTTAAACACATCACCAACAATCCATGTTGTCAGGGAACTTTTACATGACGTTAGACATGTCACCAAGTTCGACCACAGATTCCACAAGTCATACGACACAAAAACTCAGAGGTTTGGAAACCTCAATAATCTGGCTTACCGGAAAATAAATGGTGGTGTTCTGCCTCCATCTTCAGGTGCTGCTCATATATATCTTTGGATGCTTTGTTTGACAACTTTTCTGGCAGAAACTGGACATCTCGTATTTCCCTGAAAGAAGTGTGGGTGAATAAAGTGATACAGGTTATACCTTCAGCCTAGTTAATCTTATGAACTCACGCATGGTGATAGAAAATAATCATTCCTAATGATGAATCTGGGATTCGGACCATGACAATAGGATGCATGACATGGTGACCACAAGACCAGCTGTCACACTGGTCCATGATATCCCTGAGGTCCATGAGATCCCTGATATCCCTGAGGTCCATGAAATCACTGCGGTTCATGAGGAAACACTTTTCACATATTCAGATATCAAAATATATCGTGTCTTTAACTTCCGTTACTAAAACAACTTCTATAATTCAGTGTGAACATGCTATACTTTACCTGATTTGTTTCCAGTTTTTATGCCTCACGAAAATAACAATGGGGTATATTTTGAGATGGTGCAGTCTTTCTATAGCAGCCGGACTGACTTTCAGTAAACAGTGGACTTTCTGTCAACAAACAAGCATCTATCTCAAACATCTGTCCACAAATACATAAACAATGACCTAATACGAACTTTGAACATTATCAACCATGATCATAATTCTAAGAAAACTACCTCTAACACTTCACTGCCTTTTTCCTAAAACTGGTTGCTGAATAAAAATTAGCTTGTATAATATTTTCATAAGTTCATGGTTTTGTGTTGTCTTTGTTACTAGTGGTTCTCCAAGCACTTTCCACCAGAGTTATCTCCCCTAATGGAAGTGCAGGGAAGCCTCATACATTTTCCTAGGGTACCTCAAGGAAGGTACAATGGGATATCTGGGGGAAGGATGGGTGGGCCCTTCACTTCAAGAGTTAGAGGTAGTCCAAAATTTTCCTAAATTCTTGTGATTACATCCCTCTAACACTTGATTGATAAATTGCACAAAGTACCCCAGTACTAGGTTAGGAAGACAACCATAAAAGTCACAAATCTAAATGTTTACTGATAAGACAAATAGACCCACGTACGTTGAGACAACATTGAAGAATGTGTCTTGCTGCTGTATTTAATATTATGGTAGACTAGCCTGGCTATCTCTGAGTTGGAGAATTTCACCTGGCAGGCCCTTTATGAAAACTTCAAAAGGCTTCTGAGCCACCAACAAGGGTTCCTCCATAGCAAACTGGGTTAAACAACCAGTGTGGTTAACAGGTTGGATATGGGAGGATAAGATAGGACAGGAGAGACGAATTGTTCCCTCAAGTCCGACTAATTGACTTTTTATGACCATCTCAGCATCTGAAGGCACTTGGGTGGAGTCATGGAGCGCAGTTTCTTTGTCATCTCTTTTTTCATGACCCTTTTAAATAGCCAGAGCCTACTCCTCGAGAGGTGATGGAGATAGTGGGTGACAAGCCTTGCACAGGGAGATGAAAGAGCAAAGAAGGTCAACACACTCCACACAATCTCCATACAGAATACAACTTGACAAAGATTTTCAGAAAACAAATAAACACATGCGTGCATGTATGTCACAGGAACAATTTTGAGGCTTCCAGCACTTCTGTTAGGGGAGATAACCCTTGTGGACAGTGCCTAGGACCACCAGGAAGAAAGACAACACAAAACTATGGACTTATTCAAGCTAATCCTGTGGATTCAGAAACAAGTTTCAAGAAAAAGGCAATCAATTGTTGGAGGGATGTACTGAAAGAATTATCACTACACCTTACTGTTAAATCTGATACCATGCCAGTTATCATTACAATCATGCTTCAAGCGATAAGAATTTACATCTGGTTATTAATTCAGTACTGTTAATGTATGGAGGGTCATAATTCACACTGACCTTATCACAGATTTCGTCAATGGTTGTGACACGGACACACTCAAAGTGGTCGTCACGTCTCCAGTAATCGATCACCACTCCTTTGGACATATTCTGATTCAGCTGGTTTTGCGTGTAGCCACCTGCTGTAACGTCAAAAAATCTCATCTTACTAACAGTTGATATTAACAACATGGACTTGAGGAGATACAAATTGGCTGTAAGCCTATTGAATACAACACAGGCAGGTGAGTGGAACCAAGAATTATGTCCAGGACCTGGCCTGCCCCGGCAGTAACTCTGCAAAGTTAGTTCCACCTCCTTTATGGAGCATGTCTTTAGACATCCAGCATCCCTCCAGCTGTGTGACAGTGGCCTGTATTTAATCAAGTCTGGACCAGACAATCCACTGATACTGCAGGCAACGAGCCACCCCATTAATGTACCAGACACTCGATCACCAAATCTCATCACTGATCCAGTAAGCCACTTGTATCACCTGCCTCAGCCCATTTTAAACAGAATTACTGAGACAACATGAAGATGTTGCTGTAACTATCACAAGAATTGAGACAAGTTTACAAATGTTGGTAGACCATTACAAGTACAGAGGCACCAAGAAAAGTTGTATATTTACAGGGTTTGCACTGGTGGTATTTGTCGGGAGACTCAGACTCCAGTTTGCGAATCAGAGGTTCAGCGAGCGGAGCCAGCAGGACCACAGGTCGAGTCTTCTTGCCTGGAACACAACGCCAGTCATTGGCTCAAATACATCTATAAATTGGGCCCTATTAGGGCATTTTGGGTGAGTATATGTTTCCTTTAAGACAAATAGATAAAAGAAAGATGTTTGTACAATATTTGCAAGTGCGTGAATGTACATAAGTGTGTTTTACAAAGATAAAGTTCAGTTAGCACTGTACAAAATTATGACCGTTCTGTACCACATTGCTGTTTGTTCGTTGTTTAATGAGAGAGTCAGCAATATTCCTGCAAATAGTCACATGTGGGCCAGACAAACAAGTGGTTTACATCAGGAGCAAGGTAGTGTGGGTTTATGATGGCCAACTTATCTGATCCAGGTTTGGAACAAACATCCTATACTTACACTCAATTCTCTCCATGATCGTGTAGCCATACATGGAATCTGTCAATAGAACAAATATTGTCATGTTTCTGTATAACCTATGCTGGAGCAAGGGACGGTCATACTGACTGACTGAGTTTAGTTTTACGCCGCTTTTAACAATATTCCAGCAATATCACGGCGGGGGACAACAGAAATGGGCTTCTGCCCATGTGGGGAATCGAACCCGGGTCTTTTATTGATTGGAGCCAAAGGATGGTCATAAGGAGTGAAAGCTAAATTATCGTAAGCCAAACCGGGATACAGAAGCTGTCATAATGGCAGCTTGAAAGCTATCACATATAAGGTTACACTGTACCAAACACATGATGGACACTGTCAGAATCATTGTCACTAGTGATTGTATTTATTGATTGTATTACAAATGATGCCATTATTTGTTCATCAATACCTCTACAGTCAACAGTCATCAGGGCTAAATTATCAATTCATTGTTTAAACCCTAACATTAACCAATCAACACGGTTGTTTTCAGGTTATTTAGTAGTCCCTGTGTACAGCCCCAGTCACTCGGCCCATACGTCCTACACCAGTCATCTGGGCCATATGTACTTGTGTAGTCGCCACCGTTCTGGGGGAAAACTGGGGGTGCTATGACATAGAAGTAGGTCTCACCATCAAGTAGTGGAACAGAGTCACTGTTGAGAGAAGCATCGGAAAAGGAGCTCAACTCGCGGCTCTCCTTCGAGTTGTTTCGCTGGTGCCGTTTCTTGCGAAAAAAGCTTCTTCTGTATGTGCCTGAGCCACGGCGCGACCCCTTAAGGTCATCTGACTCATGGAGGCTGACGCTCTCAGAGAGACTGCGACGCAGCACCATATCATCCTCCAACCTGGGGATGTAGAGATGTTTATGTATGTGGAGCCTCATATCCTGCTGTATCTATAGTATCACTTCCCCCTGGCTCACACTTCCCCCTGGCTCACACTGTCCACTGGCTCACACTGTCCACTGGCTCACACTTCCCACTGGCTCACACTTCCCACTGGTTCACACTGTCCACTGGCACACACTTCCCACTGGCTCACACTTCCCCTGGCTCACACTTCCCCTGGCTAACACTTCCCACTGGCTCACACTTCCCACTGGCTCACACTTCCCACTGGTTCACACTGTCCACTGGCTCACACTGTCCACTGGCTCACACTTCCCACTGGCTCACACTGTCCACTGGCTCACACCGCCCACTGGCTCACACTTCCCACTGGCTCACACTGTCCACTCGCTCACACTTCCCACTGGCTCACACTTCCACTGGCTCACACTGTCCACTGGCTCACACTCCACCACTGGCTCACACTGTCCACTGCTGCTCACACCGCCCACTGGCTCACACTTCCCACTGGCTCACACTTTCCACTGGCTCACACTGTCCACTGGCACACACCGTCCACTGGCTCACACTTCCTACTGGCTCACACTGTCCACTGGCTCACACTTCCCACTGGCTCACACTGTCCACTGGCTCACACTGTCCACTGGCTCACACTTCCCACTGGCTCACACTGTCCACTGGCTCACACTGTCCACTGGCTCACACTGTCCACTCGCTAACACTTCCCACTGGCTCACACTGTCCACTGGCTCACACTTCCCCTGTCTCACTGTCCACTGGCTGCCACACTGTCCACTGGCTCACACTGTCCACTGGCTCACACTTCCACTGGCTCACACTTCCCACTCCCACTGGCTCACACTTCCCACTGGCTCACACTGTCCACTGGCTCACACTTCCCACTGGCTCACACTTCCCACTGGCTCACACTGTCCACTGGCTCACACTGCCCACTGGCTCACACTTCCCACTGGCTCACACTTCCCACTGGCTCACACTGTCCACTGGCTCACACCGTCCACTGGCTCACACTTCCCACTGGCTCACACTGTCCACTGGCTCACACTTCCCACTGGCTCACACTGTCCACTGGCTCACACTGTCCACTGGCTCACACTGTCCCACTGGCTCACACTTCCCACTGGCTCACACTGTCCACTGGCTCACACTGTCCCACTGGCTCACACTGTCCACTGGCTCACACTTCCCACTGGCTCACACTGTCCACTGGCTCACACTTCCCACTGGCTCACACTTCCCACTGGCTCACACTGTCCACTCGCTCACACTGTCCACTGGCTCACACTTCCCACTGGCTCACACTTCCCACTGGCTCACACTGTCCACTGGCTCACACTTCCCACTGGCTCACACTGTCCACTGGCTCACACTGTCCACTGGCTCACACTTCCCACTGGCTCACACTTCCCACTGGCTCACACTTCCCACTGGCTCACACTCCACACCACACTTCCCACTGGCTCACACCTCCCACTGGCTCACACTGGCTCCACTCTCACCACTGGCTCACACTTCCCACTGGCTCACACTTCCCACTGGCTCACACCCACTGGCTCCACACTGTCCACTGGCCCACACTTCCCACTGGCTCACACTTCCCACTTCCCACTGGCTCACACTCCCACTGGTCCACTGGCTCACACTTCCCACTGGCTCACACTTCCCACTGGCTCACACTTCCCACTAGCTCACACTTCCCCTGGTTCACACTGTCATTAAAGCTTCACATAAGAATCAAGAACTGATGAGCATTTAGCTTCAGGTAACAATCAGTAATCTGATATTTAACTAAAAACGTCACTGAAGATGTCTTAACAGGAACAAGTTTCTTGATTGCAATGGATGCGAGGTTTAGTGTCGATACTATCAGTGTAATCAAGGACTATGGTGAAACCAACAAACGGGCATGGAGCATAGGCGTGTTGAACTGTGATTTGATCAGGGTTTCTGGCTTGCCCTAGAAACGTAACTCTGTGGAACAAATTACTGCATTTTAAACAGCTCAGCCCCCTTGCACACTTGTACCACTGTCAGCCTACCTCATTCTGCTGGGAATGGTGCCTCCCTTCAATTTTTTGCCATCATCATTGACCAGCCAGCCAAACCACAGTCCCATGGTTCCTCCATGCAAGGTGTTTTCAACTAGCATGATGTCATCTTTGCGAAAAGCTAGTTCAGTCTCACTCTCTGCGATTCGGTCAAAGTTTGCTCGGATGTAGATAGAATCTCCCGGCAAGTTCTGGACCTTGTTGTATTCTGCAAATTAATGTTTATAATGCTATAACATGCTATTATAACAGTGGGCTCACCACAACAAGAAGTATTATCACAGTCTGATCTTAAAAAACAACGACCCGTGAAGATCCGCGGTAGAATAGGTCTTCAGCAACCCATGCTTGCCACAAAAGGCGACTATGCTTGTCGTAAGAGGCGACTAACGGGATCGGGTGGTCAGGCTCGCTGACTTGGTTGACACATGTCATCGGTTCCCAATTGCGCAGATCGATGCTCATGCTGTTGATCACTGGATTGTCTGGTCCAGACTCGATTAAATACAGACCGCCGCCAAATAGCTGGAATTTTGCTGCGTGCGGCGTAAAACTAAACTCACTCACACTTAAAAACAACAGTGGGCTGACCACAACTGGAGGACTCACCATGTTCTGAACACTGTTGTGTTAATGTGGTAATAATGGATAACCCCCTGAGCAACAGTGGCCTCACACATACAGACATTTTACCCTTCATGTGGGTACACAAAATAAAGTTCAGATGGGTCCCTCTCCCCCAAGAAGCATTTTTCACAAATTTTGGATCCTCCCTGAAAATATTATGGGTCTTCTAAAATATCCCCTACTTCTCCCAGGATGAGGAATACTTTAGTGCAGATCGGACACATGAAAATAGAACATTCAAAGGCTGGATGAGTTGGTTTACAGAACTCACACCTATCGGATGTCTTCAACTCCCATGACCCACTTTGCTGAATATACATAGTGTAGAACTCATCACTGACTCAGGGCTCCAGATAATTTTTCAACATCAAGAGTACGTACTCCTTATTTTTTCAATATAGGAGTACTGGAAAAACCTAAAAGTACATTTAGAGCACTGAATGGAATTTAATGGTGTATCAGTAATCTTGTGTTTCGTTTCATATATGCACCACAACATAGTTACTCTTGTGCAAACAGGTCAATAAACAATAAAACAATACCTTTTCAGATGAATTTACGTCTGATAATGATTCTAAGGCCGTACGCCATTGCTGTGGTGCGTATCTACTACGTTTTCTTAATTTTTTCCTTCCGTATCGTGCATATTCTATATCCATACATACGCCGATACAGGCCCTTAACTGGAGCCCTGCTGACTGCTGATTGAAGCGTGCATCTCAAAGCTGAACAAGAACACTCTAAGGCAGGCTCAATGTGTACAACACCCAAGTCACATCACATGCAGCATCACGACAAAGGTAGGATACTCAGAGCAGAATAGAACAAAACATGGACTACAGTAAAGCCGGGAGGGTTTGATCTGTAACACATAGAGGGGGTGTTCAGTAATTCCTGATGGGAGGTCAGTAATACCTGGAAAGGTGTTCAGTAAGTCCGTTCAGTAATTCCTCAACAGTGTTGAGCAATTCCTGGAAGGGTGTTCAGTAATGCCTAAAGGGGTGTTCAGTTATTCCTAAAATTGGTGTTCAGCAATTCCTGGAGGGGTGTTCAGTAATTAATAAAGGGGGTGTTCGGTAATTGCTGGGAGGGTGTTAAGTAATTCCTGACGGCTGTTGAAAATTTCCTGGATGGGTGTTAAGTAATTCTTCGAGGCGGTGTTCAGTTATTCCTAATGGGGTGTTCAGTGATTCCTGGAGTGATGTTCGGTAATTCCTGGACGGGTGTTAAGTAATTCCTTGAGGCGGTGTTCAGTTATTTCGAATGGGGTGTTCAGCAATTCTTGGAGGGGTGTTCAGCAATTCTTGGAAGGGTGTTCAGTAATTAATAAAGTTTTTTTCAGTAATTCCTGAAGGAGGTGTTCAGATAATGCTGGAAGGCTGTACAGTAATTCCTGGAGGTGGTGTTCAGTAATTCAGTTATTATTCTTTCTTGGTAGATTACATTTTCGTTTTGGAGTCAGAGGACTACTATGAATGAGCTGTTTCATTGTGTTCACCAGGGTTACGTTCCATTTACCCTTAATTACCTTACCAGTCTTTTATTCCGTTGTCTCGATCGCTTGTGTTACTGGTCCACGCCATTTTGTGTTGTGACGTCATTACTATTTGTGTTCCTTAGAAAATAACTTTTCTTTATGCATAAACTAATATCTTCAGTTGTTTATATATCGTATTACATTTCCTTTGTTGTCTCATACTTGATTGTAATGATGAACTTAGTTATTATCTAAAACTACACTCGTACTCAATAATTCTCAAGTAGTAACTCTCGCGCTGACGGATCGTATTTGTTCATTCTATATGGACCCAGAAGTGACCTAATTCTTGACTGTGACATTTGCTAATGATCAGCAATCAAGCTTGTCTTTTGTGCTGAATATATTATCTCCAATCTCGTATTTAGGTAATAGTTGCATATAATCCAGTTACACATTTTTAATAGAATAAATAATTTTTCTAATAACCTTGTTGGGGATAACATCCCTGACCTTGTCGTACGGTCAACGTAAATAAACTTCTTTTTATTGTTTCCAACATGTGTTGTCAATTTATTAAATAATGTTATGACAGAAGTTAAACTGTGAAAAGTAAGTCAAGTAAACCGTCACAGTCATCAATTTCTGAGAAAATCTCGGACGGACGGAGCTCAAACCAATATCCCCCTTCCATTTCGTGGCAGGGGATAATAAAGGGGGTTTTCAGAAATTCCTGAAGGGGTGTTCAGTAATTCCTGAAGGGGTGTTCAATAAGGCCTGCAGGGGTGCACAGACAGAAGTTAAGTTCAGCCTCTAAGGAGGCTTGGTGTATGGTATACTCACTGGGGAGGTTTAGTAGGGCCCTGATTCTCATAGTGGAGCAAGGTTTAGACAGCTCAAGGAGGGCCTGCTCTGCTGTTATGCCACGAAAGTCCAGGCCATTGTACTGAAATAGGAAGGTCAAAGCTCAACACTCAAGGGACATGCAAATGAAGTGAACTAGGGCAGTACAAGGTGAACACTGCTGCACAGGCACCGGTAAGGAATTTTACTGATGTCACTTGAACAAGGTCACATCAACAAGTTCAGAAAAATGGATTGTGTGTTTCAGGGAATATATACATAATTTCCTTCAAGTCACAGAAATTATGAGACAGTACAACTGGAAAGCCCCAACTAAGTAATATTTTAGCTACTTGACATGAATATTTCAGGCCTATGTCCGATGGTTGTGGAGGCAATATAGCTCTTAATATTCCAGCTGAACATGGCCTGTCCATCACAGAGGCTGACACAAACCAGTGGTTTATACAATAAGTATTTACCCATGGTGGGACGGTAGGATGACACAAACCAGTGGTTTATACAATAAGTATTTACCCATGGTGGGACGGTAGGATGACACAAACAGGTTGGTTTATACAATAAGTATTTACCCATGGTCAGAAAAATTTCAAAGAGGGGAGTAGATAGGATATACACAAACCATGGTGGTATATATAATAAGTATTTACCCATTGTGGGACGGTAGGATGACACAAACCAGTGGTTTATACAATAAGTATTTACCCATGGTGGGCGGTAGGATGACACAAACCAGTGGTTTATATAATAAGTATTTACCCATGGTGGGACGATAGGATGACACAAACCAGTGGTTTATATAATAAGTATTTACCCATTGTGGGACGCATTGTGGGACGATAGGATGACACAAACCAGTGGTTTATACAATAAGTATTTACCCATGGTGGGACGGTAGGATGACACAAACCAGTGGTTTATATAACAAGTATTTACCCATGGTGGGACGGTAGGATGACACAAATCAGTGGTGAGTGCTATAAGTATTTATCCATGGTATGAAGGTATGCCTAGCCACAAGTGGGTTTAGAAACAACCCCAGGATCTATATCCTGGCATAACAAGAACTGGGGGACTGTGATCTACATAGGGAGGCCATCTGACGAGTCATGCATGAAGTTGATTCATTGCAACACCAAGCAAGATGGAAATGTGAATAATAAACATGTATATTTCCTGAAAGCAAAGCAATGTCTCAACTCGGCCAGAGCCACCAATCAGTAATCAGAAGCAGCCATGCCCAACAGAAGCTTTGTTAACCAAGAGAGCTCCTTCACAACTGGAAGCTTCCCCTTTGTTGACACAACCTACCTCGAGTATCTGGTCTCCTCGCTGAAGAGTGTTATTCACATCATTGGTGTTGGTCTGTGGTGGCTCATGTACAAAGATGCCGGTGGCGTTGCCGCCCACAATACTGAAGCCAATACTGCTGTTTCTCTTCTTCAGAGTGATGTATCGGGGGCGATCACACGTGCTGTCGGAGCTGGAAATGTATGACACTACATAAGTGCTCCGCAAATGATATTTCCATGCAATTCTATTGTGGATATTTTGAACACCCTGTCATAAGGACAATGGCATCCACACACAAAAGCATGTCTAATCAAGTGTATATTTGTGTTCTGTTAATTTGCTACGATAAATATTTCTGCAGCCACATCATTTAAGAAATCTGATTGGCCAAGAGCTCATCACTGTGGCTCACAGAATCTCCTGGCGCAGAAAGGTACTGCATTGGAGCAAACAAGTGATATTAATGACACCAAAACAATAGCATCTGCTTGTCATTGTAGGTGATGTGTGAGTAACATGGACGTACCTGCCTGCTGTGTGAAGGCGATGTGTGGGTGATGGTGAGTGTAACATAGACGTACCTACTTGTCTTCCCGTGTGAAGGTGACATGTGGGTGATGGTGAGTGTAACATGGACGTACCTGCTTGTCTTCCCGTGTGAAGGCGATGTGTGAGTGATGGTGAGTATAACATAGACGCTTATAGACGTACCTGCGGTTCTCTTGTGAAGGCGATCGTGTGGGTGATGGTGAGTATAACATAGACGTACCTGCTTGTCTTCCCGTGTGAAGGCGATGTGTGGGTGATGGTGAGTATAACATAGACGTACCTGCTTGTCTTCCCGTGTGAAGGCGATGTGTGGGTGATGGTGAGTATAACATAGACGTACCTGCTTGTCTTCCCGTGTGAAGGCGATGTGTGGGTGATGGTGAGTATAACATAGACGTACCTGCTTGTCTTCCCTTGTGAAGGCGATGTGTGGGTGATGGTGAGTATAACATAGACGTACCTGCTTGTCTTCCGTGTGAAGGTGAAGCGTGATGTGTGGGTGATGGTGAGTATAACATAGACGTATTCTGCTTGTCTTCCCGTGTGAAGGCAATGTGTGGGTGATTGTGAGTATAACATAGACGTACCTGCTTGTCTTCCCGTGTGAAGGCGATGTGTGGGTGATGGTGAGTATAACATAGACGTACCTGCTTGTCTTCCTTGTGAAGGCGATGTGTGGGTGATGGTGAGTATAACATAGACGTACCTGCTTGTCTTCCCTTGTGAAGGCGACGTGTGGGTGATGGTGAGTATAACATAGACGTACCTGCTTGTCTTCCCGTGTGAAGGCGACATATGGGTGATGGTGAGTGGGGACTTGTCTCCCTCCATGGAGCTTGTGATTGTCCCCGCAACTGATGGCATCGAACCCGTACTGGATGACTCATGTGGCTCACGATATTCTGGAGAAAATAGTGAATGAACTTTATCCAGGTTAATATCATAGATATGTCAGTATATATGAAGTGACTCTTATGGTAACTGTATGGATAACAGATAAATCAATGTAGTGGTAGTATTTGTTGTATGGATAGATGAAGTAAATTTGAAGGTGGGCGTATGGATAGATGAAGTCATTCTACTGATGGCTGTATATATACCTGAAGTGATTCTGCTGGTGGCTCTATGGGTGAGTGAAGACAATCTGCTGGTGTATGAATGAATAGCTAAAATATTTCATCTATAATGATGAACTTACTGTCTGGATTATACTGGACTCTCATGATGAGGTTGTCCCCACACTGTTTCAGTACGGTCAGAGCGTGGGCATAGGATGCTGTCCTCATGTTGATACCACAAACCTGGGAACCAGACACAGAGACATCAGAGTGGCCACAAAGGTTGCTGCATGTCATCAGGAACAATGATTACATGGGACACAAAGGTCAAGGGCACCATGGTAATTTCAGATCGTGACCAGACACTGTATGGTCAAGAGAAATACAGCAAGGGAAAGTAATCTGGCAGATATATACACCAAGGAGCAAAAACACACATCCGTAGTAATAAACTATGTCATATTGATATCCATTTCTCTGAAGATTCTCTTGCATCTTGTCCCTAATGCCACTCACCTCCAGGAGTTGATCACCAGGAACCAGACCCGCCTGAGCAGCAAGACTCTTCTCATTCACTGAGCAAATAAATATCCCACCAGATGGACCTGCATTGATCTGAATGCCAAACTGTTCTGCCGTCTTCTGTATGGTGATTGTCCTCATGTCTAGCGGACGTGGTCTATGGGGGAAAAAGGCGTTGCTAAGCAAAGCAAGTTGTCGTGTGAAGCAAAACAATTTACATATTATCACATACAAGACACATAATGTCTATCTCCAGGATTAACAATAAGTCGACATTGACTGGCATTGCAGAAAAACTTGAGGAAATGAAAAGTGTGACCACTTCCAACTAGCATGTGTTACTGAGGACAATACTTACCCTGACAACATGGTTGTTACCTGGGAAACACTTTCTCACAAACATCATGCTTAATGTACAAAAGAACACATTTCATTCCCTCCTCATCATATCCAATTATCTCTTGTAGATGAGCCTCCTTGTAATTGACGACTGGAATATCTTTAAGTGCGATGTTAGAAGCTGTATTATCAGTGAAGACAGACATGTTCCAGCAGGTGTTAACAAAGGTGCAAGTAACTATACTGAAATGCATGATTGATAAAAGGAAATTTAGATAAATCTGTAGAGGTTTTCAATTCTTTGAAGAGAATCGTCCTTGGGGTACATATAGGCATTTTCTGCAGCTGAAAATGTCATGTGACAGTTATATCAATGTTTTAATAAAAATATAGTACAATAAATAAAAGCATACGGCCCCCACCACGCATGCGTGGCCAACCAGGTAAGCACCTAGGCCCACATCATCATTCCTTCTGCTGAACAAGTCAGTGAACAGAATTGAGGGGACGTGGGCAGCCCTATCCCAAGGACGATTCACTTCAAAGAATTGGAAACATCTACAGGTTTATCTAATTCTTTTTCATGAAGATCGTCCTTGGGGGTACATATATGCATTAACACTCCCGACCCTTCTACCAAATGTCACCGCCACAAGAAAAACGGCCTTCCATGTTAGCAGCTGAATGGAAATAGCCGAAAGACGTGAGAAAGAAGGACCGGACAGCCAATCTAGCACGATTGACAAATCCCAAGGTGGGCTGGTACGCCTGAGAGAAGGTCGAACCCAATCCACGCCAGCTAGGAAGCGCTGCATAAGAGGGTGCTGCCCCAGAAGAGCACCATCGACAGGTGTGTGAAAGGTGGAAATAGCGGTGGAGTAGCCACGAATAGTCGAAGCTGCCAAACCTTCTTCCAAACGAGACTGCAGAAACTCCAAAACTAAGACTAAATCCACAGAGAAGGGGATCTGCAATTCCCCTGCGGGACCACATATCCTCATACTGAACGTTTGTCGAATCCCACCTCGAGGCCAGAATTGCGTCTGCAACTGCTGCAGGAATTCCGCGTGCCTCGAGGCTAGGCCTGACAGAGGCAAAGCCACTCCTGAATCCGTTGATTGGGATGTGTCGCACCGTTCTGAGTGAGAATGTCCGGTCGTACGGGTAATAGGACAGGAGGCTGAGCCAGAAACCTGAGAATTACCGGAAACCAGCTCTGTGACAGCCAAAGCGGTGCCAGAAGCACAAGTAGCCGAGTTGGCTCGGTGGACAGCTGGGAGAGGACCCGGGGAATGAGAGGTTGTGGCTGAAACGCCCACAGTACCTTGCCCGTCCAATACAGCAGGAAGGCATCGGAAGCCAACGCCCTCTGGTCTGGTATTCGAGAGCAGAACACGGGTATCTGATTCGTCCCCGCCAGACGCAAACAGATCCACCTGGAACGATCCTTACAACTGGGAGATAACTCCGAATATCTGCCGATCGAGCATCCACTCGTGCGGGGCCAGGATCCGGGGAGAGAGCGCGTCTGCTCGCATGTTCTCTAGCCCCGGGAGATAGACAGGAATCACCTGACATTCGCACTTGTTGCACCAGAGAAGAAAGTCCCATGCCTCCCGAAGGAGCGCTAGGGACACCGTGTTGCCTTGCTTCAGGATGTACGTCATGGCCGTGCGGTAGTCAAACTGAAGACGAACAACCTGGCCCTGAACATGCTCCCGGAAGCGCTTGAAAACCAACAGCACAGCTCTCAGTTCCAACACATTGATGTGAAGACGGACTTCGGCTTCGGACCAGCGTCTGGACACCAACAGACTGCCGAGAACAGCCCCCCCCACCCGAGAGGGATTGAAAGAGGAATGAAGACACCATCTCCCGTACTCTGGTGATCCAGGTGGGCGACAGAGACACAAGATCTTGTTGAGTTGTGAACTGCGCCCCGAGAAAAAACAAGTCCTGGGTGGGTACCAGGTTGGATTTATTGAGGTTTATGATCCATCCCAGTCGAACTAGAATGTCTATTACCATGTGAGTAGACTCGCTGGCTGAGTTAGTGCGCGTCCAGGTAAGGGTGACAATGCCTTCCTTGCGACCACGCGAGAGTAGCTGGCACTAACATGAGCTTGGTGAACACCCTGGGGGCAGTGGATATGACGAAGGGGAGCACCCTGAATTCATAATACATCATTCACAAGAGAACCTGAGGTACTGCTTGAACGTGGGATGAATAGGTACATGAAGATACGCATCCTTTAGATCGATTGACGTTAGCCAATCGCTGGGCTGAACAGAGGAGATCACCGAGATAAGTGTCTTTATCTTGAAGGATGGAACTTCTAACATGAGATTCAACCCCTTGAGGTTGAGAATGGGACGGAACCTGCGGTCTTTCTTTGGTACGAGGAAGTACATGGAATAAAACCCCACCTGTTCCTCTCCCGGTGGTATGCACTCTATTGTGGACTTGTCCAGCAAAGCCTGAACCTCGTCGCGCAGTATACCCGTCTTGGCCGGACATGACGGCACCGGAGTGCACCTTCTGTCGGTGAACTCTGGCGGGCCTCGCTTCCACAGCGGTAAATGGCTGACACGTACAGTGGACAGCACCCAAGAATTGTGTGTAGCCTTCTCCCACTCCGGAAGGAAGAGAGAGAGGCGGCCTCCCACTGGGATATGTGGTAAGAGAGCGTGAGTAGTCCCCTGCAGCTGAACTGGCTGGGATGTACCTGCTGGAGCAGCCCGCAAGTCAAACGGGAGGTCGGGGCAGACCCCCCTCCGACTCGCAGAAGGGTGCTGGGAGCCAGACAAAGAGGTCTGCTCCTTACTCTTACTTTTGGCGGGGCGGCTCCTCCTCCTTCCCCTACCAAGCGGCCGAAGCCAACCTGCAGACTCTGGCGTAGGCTGCACCCGGAGGAAGTGCTCGCCACGGGAGCGCGGGGGCGAGAAACCCGCGGTTGTTCTAGCAAGGCCTTTGAATCCTGGAAAGAAGTAGCTGCTGCAGCAGCCTCCCATATAACCTGCTGGGCCCAAGGAAACAACGTTGCACCCAGCCTAAACGGAAGGGCCAGCAAGGTTTGCTGGGTTGCCGCCGAGCAATGAGAGGTCGACAACCACAGCTTGCGCATCCCCATAACTGCGCACGTTGATGCAGCGGACCGTAACGAGTCCCTGGTCAGGTGGGCCTGCACTTTGGTAAGCTGACGAAGCAAGACAACATGAGGTGATACGTCACCCATGCCTCCCTCTGCCTCCAGGGCTGACCTCTGAATCGAGGAGAGATACGCACGCCCCATGGACCACCACCCTGATCTGCTGCACAGCATTCTGATAAACCTCCTTGTAGGTTCAGTAAGCTTGCCGCAGAGGGACCCAACTGGGCAAACAGTGGAACTAAACGCCCTTGTTTGGCAGCCTGAGCTGAACCCGAGCCTCCCCCGAGGGCGACTGAAGTGAAAACAAATTCGTCCACCACCAGAACCTGGAAGAGGGACACATCGCCCAGCTGGTAACGCTTCACGAGTTCAGGTAAATCAAATTGGAGCCGAGAACCAACGAGCAACGGATCCACTACATCTTGGACCAGTGACGGAAGAACGTGGAGCTGCGTCTGTGAAGGCTGCCGAGGAGCAAACGCCTCACCCAGCAGGTGGAACTCAGATGAATCATGACGGCATGTCGGCACCGCAGCTTGGGGTAACATCTGCGCTATAAGCTGACGCACCTCACGTAAAGCTGATGTGAAGCGGAAAGCGCCCTCGTAGTCCTCAACCTCCCCCACATCCATCAACTCAGCTCCCGAACCCGAGCCAGAATCTGGATTCTCCTGAAGAGAGGACCCGAACCCCGACCCGGTGGAAGGCCGAGCCACAGACGACAAGTGAAGGGACGACCCGGACACCGACAGCACACCAGGACCCCGGTTCCGAGATGTAGGAGGTAGCACAGGAAGAGCTGGCACCTCCGCTATCATGGGGAAAGTGGGCGTAGGAACCGGAACACCAGGAATCCTCAATGGTCCCTGAGCAAGCACCGAGAAAGGGACTGGGTGTGGACCTTCCCTCTCCGGGGTGGCCGAAGCACCCGGACCCGAAGCCAACGGCAACGGATCAACAGGCGCCTCAAGGCCCACAGATCAAGCCGAGCCCGGCGATCCGACGCCCGAACTCTCCGTCCCCTGACCAGAGCGAGTGAGGAACTCCTACCGGAGTCCTCCAACTGTCTTATGGACAAGAGACTTCACCGAGTCCATATACTGCTGAAACTTCTGTTGTATTAGTGACATATCAAAAGGTTGAGGTTGAGGTTCCTTAGGACCTGAAGGTTTGGGCTTGCTAGACTTTCTAGCCTTTTAGACTTAGACGGGGGAAGTTCCTGAGACGGGTCCCCTCCCGCCTCCCTCAATTCCTTAAAGAAAAGGAGATCAGCAGCTCTCCTCTTTTGCGGTCTGTGGGAAAAGCCAAGGCAGAGCTCGCACACGTCTGGGTTGTGCCCAGCTTTCTCAAGGCAGCATAAACACTTCTCATGCTTGCCCTGAGGCGGCAATTTTTGCCCACAGGCAACGCACGCCGTAAACGCCTGAAAGCAAACACGCAACGCATGAAGCTAACGGCCAAATACAACAGGCACAGGCAATGTCCCCCGACGCTAAAGAATAGAACATTTGAAACTACTTTTCATTTTGGGTCAACATACAAGATGCCTGAAATGACTTGTATGCATGTTTGCCAATGTAGGCTGTCAACATCCTTGAAAACATTGGGTGCAAAGAATAGAATATTTAAAGTTACTAAATTTCATGTTTGGGTTGAAGACAAGATG